ATCGACACGCGGAAACATTCCTCCCTCTCTTTCAGCCCGCGGATCTCTTGGATCGCTGGTATCGGATCTACGTGTCGGTATACGTATCGTCGGCGGACAGTGTAAGATCTCTGAAATACGTCGGGCGATATTTCGTCCTGTCGAACGTCGACACGCGCTCCACCTCCTCGCCGTCGTCGTCGTCCTCGTCCTCGTCGCCGTCGTGGTTGCTAGGATGCGGTGGATGGTGCATATAATCCTGGATGGATATACAGGAGCAGCAGAACGGCGCCCCCGCCGCGATGCCCGCCCGCTGCACACTGGAACAACCCTGTTCCGTTCCGTTCCTCTCTCTCGCTTTACTCTCTCCCCCTCTCTTGCGCCCGCCGACGTCGTACTCCCGACTCCCTCCTATCTCTTTCTCCCACCGTGTTCCTTCCTTCGGTCTCCTCTGTTCACCACTAAGACTTCCCCTTCACTCTTTCGATCGTCTTCCATTCTCCGTCTCATTTGCCGCCAACTCCTCTTTCGACCTTCTTTATGATAGCAGAACCCCTCTATCTCTCTCTCTCTTACTCCTATTTCGTTTAGTGTCAGTCTTGTAACGCCTTGTATTTATCTTCGTCACACTCGCGACTCTTTGTCCTTCTCTTTCACCTGTATCGCTCTCTCTTCCATTGAGGTATCCAGCCTTTCGCGAGCAGGAAGACCGCTTTCTATTACCTTCCTGCTCCATTCGCCGCTCGGCGTTCTCCACCCTATGTTTTTCCTCTCGTTTACTTTCGTTCCTTTTCTCTCACTTTATTCCCCCGACATCGTTTATCTCCCTTCGCAAGAGATAGATCTTTCGTTCTCTCTTTCCCGTGCAGGGAAGCTTCCTCGCACCGCACCGGCCGCGTCACCCCGCGCGGCTTCTCTCTTTTGCGCCACCCGGCATCCGTGACGGCCCACCCAACTCCAACCGCGCCGAAATCGCTCCTCGAACATCGTTCATCTCGTTCTGCGACGGCTCGCCGCCGCGAGTTCCTTCTCTCTTTCACTCTTGCCGCGACACCCCCGCGTTCCTCCCCCGACGCGTATTCACGACGGAGGTGGTAGGTCGTGGAGGTGGGAGCCTGCGCACGTGTGAGCACCCCTCGCTGGGTTTCCCGCTCGATATCGGACCGACTCCACAACTCCACGTTACGAATGCACGTATAACGGGTGTCATGCGGACGGATTCCAGCCGTCCGTCGCGCGCGGCGTACGTGCGCCTGCCTTCGCCAGTTCGGCATCGACTACTCCTTTCAGAGGATCATGCCGCAGTGAGCAGACGGCTCGGTGCCGAACAGGTGATCTTCTGGCGTCGAGAGATACACACAGGTGACTCGTTTCGCGTCAAGCAATGAGAAATCGCTAAATTCTGCAAGGTCGGAATTGATCAACGTAAAAAAAAACCGTGCAACATTCTGTCGTAATTTTCTACGTTAAAGTCAATCGGGCTTAATACAAATAAAAGCTTAAATAAAGGGAATCCTTCAAGTGTGCTCCGGATTTTTGGGATAGCCTCGTTCGCCCTCGAACTGCTCGAAATAATCGATAGCGCATGTATCAGCGCCCCATGCCTCTGGTCTTTTAGATTTATCTTCTCCGCGCGTAACCTTTTCTCTATTGCATCTGTCGATTGCGAATCAGATATATCTGAGATCTACCGTATGTTTGGTCAAAGGAAAATGCGAAGGAATTTATCGAGAAGTTTTTCTCCCCTGTACCTTTAATAATATTGGATATACGTCAATAATGCTCTTTCTTGCGTGTTTATTTCTAAGAAATATATATATTGTTTTTCTTAGAACACACGTACTATCCTAATGATTCCTTTGAAAATTAAATTTTTTATAAGATTATTATTTAATGTCAAAACTTATACTTTTTGTAAATTATGAAATCCATAGATAAAGTTTATAAAAACGATTTAGATATTCGTCATAAATAATCGATTGAAATATAATCAATACGAATAATCAATACGAATAACTAATAAAATATTTATAAATATCATATGTAAGCAATAATTTATGATAATTATCATATTTCAATATTTGTTTTAGAATTTTAATTTGCTTAGATCACATTTGATTTTTGACGCAGTTTTAACTTAAAAGATACATATCTTATTCAAAAACGTCTTCTTTGTCCTATTTATAATTGTCATTAAGAAATATTAAGTTGTGTTCGCCATTTGACTAGTACGTCTACATGCAATTCTAGCACAGCATCAGACAAATATTGTTAGTAACTTAAGTAATTTAACGAGTGAGATTATATGTTACGTCTAACAATAAGCAGACGTATTATATTTTCTATTATTATTTTGTAAGCTACTTTAAGCTATCTAACCAATTTGTAATCGCGAATGTTCTACTTACAATTAGTCTAGAGTTTCTAGCCTACAAAATGTTCTCGAATAAGAGCATCATGCAACGGTAAGTCGTGTTCTCTGACATTTCATAAACGAAGATCGTACGCCGTATATAAAACTCTCGCTGTTCCACCAATATAAACTAACAACACTTGGATACAATCATGGACACAGTCACGGATATTGAAGGTGGATAAATCTCTATTATTCCTTTATCGTCTTTTCGCATTGCCCGAAGACGAATCGATAACGCTGACAAAGCGTGCAGTAGTCTGCAAACTGCATGCAAAAGAAGAAAATAATCATTTCGATGCAACAATCATTTTATTACTATATTTTATCATAAAATACATTTATATTTTCTATTTAAATATTTCTATTTAAATCCAGTTTTATCCACATGAATATGTTAAATATTATATACCTATTCTGTGGAAAATTTTGATTGAGTATTTTTCATGTCATGCTAAACAAAAAAAAATCGAAACTTATATATTATTTCCGTGAATAAGTAAACTTTTAAACTTTTTGCAAAGTTTAATTCAATATTATTTCAATATTATTAATTCAATATTATGCGACTAATGAATCGACATGTCATGAGTCAAAGCCTTTCAAGATGAAACATAGCTTTTTTCTGAAACTTTGATGTTAAACAAATACAAATTCAAAATTTTCAATAATGTTTAATTAAAAGAGTTGTAATAACTTGAAGACAGATAGCTGAGTTTTTATTCGTTTAACATTGTTATTGCGATTGGTAGTTATAGGAGTAAGTATTCTCGGGCACGCGTGAAGCTTCTATTAACTACCATTCTGTCACGTGTAAGTCAATTATTAATTGTGACGGAGCACATTTTTGACTGGTGATTCGTGGCGAATGCGAGTTTGGTCAAGCGAAATGAGGGAATTATGGAGAAACTTTGTCTCAAGAAGGCACGTGCAAGGGTAATGCTGTCCAGGGGCGGACATCCCCTCACAGCCACCACAACCTTTATCCTCGCCATGTCACCCTTAGACCCACTTTGTTATGTCCCAGAGGTCGTTACGGTTATTAGCGATTGTCGACGGTACTTTCAAGCTTTCGCCTTGTTTCAAGCTTTTCACCGCATTTGGTTTCTGGTCATTGGAAGATCTTGCGCGAAAGGTACAAGCTACAACGTTGTTCTACTTCCAATTTAACATTTCATTCGAATTAAAGAAGAATAATTTAATGCAATATGTATGTAAGTTATTTCACGTAAATTAAAAATTTTAATTATTATAAATGAAAGTTGACGATATATGATGTATGCGATATAGTTGTCATATAATTATGCTAAAAACGTAATTGTACTCATTGTCAGTTACACATTAACTTGGAAGAATTACAAAATGCAGCAATATTATTTTAGCATACACAAGATGCATTATTGATCAAGGCAATATTTTCAATATTTAAAACGTACTGGATAATTTACTTTTAGGAAAATCGATTATACTTTCCAATCGCATCATTTTAAAAGTATGT